AAGAGCCAGAGGCTATTCCCATGGGGCCAGCCAGGCTAACAACTGCTGGCCAAGCACCTTCGCAGACTGCCAGCTGGGACCTCCTTCTCTCTGTCCAAGTGGAGAAGAGTTTGCTATTCCAGTTGTCTCCAGGAAGAAAAGAAAACCTAGGGGCCATTTTCACAGATTACATAGATACACAAAGTGGCTGGTCAGCTGGGGAGGAAGGGGGTGAGGGCTACACTCAGATGCGCTCCCATCTTCTTGCCAGAAAGACCTGCTACATCAGCTGTTGGAAACCCAGTCCAAGCACTCCTCCTCCCCGTGTTTCTCTTCCTCCCTTCACTGTGCATCTCTGCTTAATACGCAGCAATCTCAGCTTCAACCCGTGATGTATCCAGAGCACGCTCCATAGCGGCGCTCACCATCCTTACGAAGGAGGAATCAGGCAGAGACCCGAGCCAAGCCATATGTAACCTGCTGAGTCCAATACGTCACACGTCAGCTTTCAGTCAGAATTCAGAAACATTTACGTCTCCTGAATGCATACACTTAAAAGTTTTTTAACCACGGGATTATGCTGTCAGCGTTTCTTGCATTTAACATATGCCTGTGTTATGATGAACACCAGCAGAACTGGAATAAGTGTTGCGAGTTTCCTACAAAAAAAAAACCAAACCCAAAACTTTGACTCCTTAGGTCAAAAATAGCAGCACTTGAGAATCCAAAGTAGAGTAACACTACAACTGGCTGTCGATAATTACTTACAATAGAAATTCCTGATTTTGCTTAACCACATTGTCAGACTACCTTCAAAGTAACAGCTTTTAAGTGGGATCTGATTCACATTTTAGGTCGAAATAGTAGTATTTGGCTTATCAATTTCATCTGCAGAAATGATTTCCATTGTTCTGTGTATACGGAGAAGTGAACTGATAGGGCTGCCTTCAGAAGTTCCTTGTTCCGAGAGGTACAGAGGTAAATTTGGTCCATCAAAAACAACGTGTCATCCTTTTAAGACAAAAATCCATATGAAGACTTTCTATGAAAGTTGCAAGAGACATTGTCAAATTAATTCATTAATTAGAAGTCAGTTAGAGACTCAAAGAAGAGCAGACCAGCTAAGCAATAGTCCCGCTGGTGCTCATGCTACCAGTTACATGACAATTAGCACTGGCTTTATTCCAGTAACGCTTCCACCAGTTTAAGACCTGCAGACTTTACTCAAACACCCGGTCGCTGCTAATGGAGAAAATACACCTAAGACTTCAGACTCCAGGAGTGAGCTCTCATCAGCTACCTACAGCAGCAGCACCAGCAGTGGACTGGCCAGTAATGCTACTGCTATTACATTAAACGACAAGACTCAACTAATGAACACACGCAAGTGAAGCTTTGCTTTATAGTTATTTCACTAATAAATGATTTATAGTAGCAGCAGTCTGTTCCATGTGAAACTGGGCGTTTGGAAGTCATGGGACTACACCAGCCTAGAAAATTAAGAAGGATGGGCATCCGTGCAGCCATGTAAAATGAAGAATCAATGAACAACTTCTCGTGTTACATTAAGGATACCCCCACAAACACAGTGTTTCCTTGACCACAAGAAAAATTGAGTGAAGACTACAAGAACAGATGTAAAAACATGGGGATAACTGTAACCATCCCTCAATATAAAAAAGCCAAAATATTTAAAACTTTTTTGAATATATACCTTTCTGTTTTACACAAAAAAATTAAGAACAATAGCTGGAGAGCTGATGCTGTTTGCAATAATTTTAAGCCTCACTGCATGCAAGTTTCCTTATGTATAAAAGATACTATAGACAAAAATCCATGAAAGCTGACTTTTGTTTCATTTGGGAAGGGTGGAGAAAAAAAAAAAAAACAACAATTACATATCAGAAAAATGTTTAAAGTTGATCATGCAGACACTTCAGGAGCTAAAGGAAAACACACCTAAAACAAATTCTGCCACTGTTTTAATTCCACTTGCATATGCACTACTTACAACAGCAGTGGATGGCACAGTCACGTATTTTAAGCATTTTCAGTTGTCTGAAAGCCATTGATTTTAAAAAGTTGGCTTACCTGTAAAATATGGACGTATGAAAACACAAAGCATCATTGCAGTTAAGAAAAAAAAAAACTTAGAAATTGCTAGGTGTGTTATTTATTAACTGCAGCCAACATGCAGTAGGGCGGCCTCCTGCTCGTCCTTGCAGGGTGCATAACAAGTGCACAGAGAAAGGAGAAGGGGCATGGAAGTGGAAAGGATGTGCTAAGTAGAGAAGATACAGATGGTAAAAGTATCCTTGAAGTATAAAGGAAAAAGATAAGGATCTTGGGATGGTGGAAAAGAACACACATAGGACAAACAATACACTGGACTCCACTGCTTCTGGGTAGCTGTGCACATATGCTGATCATGTTTTAGCATGATTAGAATTTTTTTTTTCCTTATTGAGAGATACCTATTTCCATACCAGAGTTATTCACTTTCTTCAAAAGTCCAGGAAGTAACAGTAATTTTGTGAGATGAACTTTTTGTTCAAGTGAACAATGAAAGCAACCACACTGGAGGGACTAATGCAGAGTATTATGGGAAAACATTCTCAAAAAATGGAAAAGAGATTAAAAGCTTTCTGATGTTAGGATAGCACATTAATAAAACCACTTTTCCTCACCTGTTGTCATCATTCAAAGGGAGAGAAGCAGACCCAGAAAGAGTAGGGTGTTGAAACCAGGTTAAAAGGTGTGGCAGGATGAGGATGATGTCCATGGTCTAGGTGAGACAGCAAAGTGAAAGCTTGGAGACAACCTCCTCTCCGAAAGAGAGACTGGAAGTGTTAATTGCTGAAATGCGTTCATAGAGTCGCAGGCTACTTGAATCATATTCAAGATGTCCACCTTCCTGTGGTGTCCACATCAATAAAAGTAGATGAAAAATCTAAAGAAATTACGTTCATGCCAGTTGCTTGAATAAAATGGAGTTTTCTTTCCCCACTTCCCCTCCCGCAGCTGTTTTTGCCCCAAACTTCAAAGCCTTATTTGCATTCATACAAAATCTGTTTACAGTCAACTTCATTGAGATACTGGAGCTCGCCCCCCCGCCCCCAACTAAGACACAAAGCAAAGCTGGCCAGGTGTCTCTAAACCACAGAGCCAGCTGCTCCTAACCAAGCTCACAGGAAATAGCAAGGAAAATATGCAGCATTTGACACATCTGGAATAGATTGCAGAGTCTTTGAAAACAATGTCCCAATTCCCTTCCTCCTGCTGATGAGATTTCAGGCTACCAAACTGCTGCATCAACTATAGAGGATTAGATAACATGTGTACATTTTTAACCCTACGTATTCTTTCTGTCCAAATGAGAATTTTTCCAAGCTAGTCCAGAAAAAAAAACCCACAAAAATACCAAGCATCTGTATGAAGCTTTCTGTAAAATGCAGTGGAGCAAACAGAAATAATTCAATCAGAAGACTGCTACTTAATTTGCGAAAACTGATACAGTTGGAAAACAGTACTAGTTGATATTGGTAAACATAGAAAATGAATCAATATTGCATGGTTTGCACAGTTGTATTAACTCATTAGAAGAAATGTCCTTAGAGTTTGTTGCCATAAAACATGAGGTGAAAAGGAGAAGAGTAGAGAGGATTGGTTAGTACCTATTTTGCCAAGTAATTTGTCTGTAATTCCATGTTGACGCAAATATTGCGGTGTGCATTTTTCAATGTGAAGTACAAAAAACCCAAAAAGCGTAAGTCTTAATTAGCAAAACAAAGCAATGTTTTATTATCTGCTTCTTTTTCGTAAGGACAATGAATGCAAAAGAACACAGAAACAAACAGATAAGTTTAGAAGGAAATCCCAATCAGATATTGAACATAATACTTAATCTTATTCTTTCCATAAAAAGATGGGTAGGGGAGGTGCCCCTAAAGTTTTAGTCACTTTCAGTATCTCTGAAAGATTAAGAAAATGAATAATGTGACCAGTTTACATATGTATATTTTAAACATTCATTATAGATACAAAACTTAATACAGCACTAGCTTAAAACAACATAAACCTCACTGTTTTTAATGTTAGTAATAAAAAGGCAGAATTCTAATATAAAAAGAAAAACTGGAGGAAAGTATTTGTGTCTTTTTGTTCCTCAAAGGTGCAACCAACAACCAATGTATTTTTGCAACTGAGATTCCAGTTGTACAAAGGACAGAGATGTATTCTCCTACTTAAGGAGAAGCATAAATTTCACAAACTTTAAAGGAAACCACACATGCATGAACAGTAGACAGTACCCCTTAAAGAGATGGTATTTATAAGAAAGTAATTATTTATAAGAAAGTAATGGTATACCTTAAATGAATACTGGGAGAGGTGCAACACACATTTTCTATTTTCAGAGCTTTAAAAGTAAGATGATTTTTTTTGCCTTCATAGATTATTTCCAAAATTACCTTACATTTAAATTAGTTTATTCTTAGGAAATGGCAAAGTATTTATTCTAAACAAGCGTTGTAAGACAGCCATATGAATTTTTTTTGAGAAGCCCTCAGGGTGGATGTTGTATTTATATTGAACTCAAGACTTCTTAAACAGAACCAGTGTTATAACCCAGGGAACACATCTGCAATACTCTGTTTCAGGAACAAAGGTGCACCTACGAGGATCCATCTGCATAACCAAGGACTAAAGATGTAAGGCTGTCCATCGCTGCTAACATGAACAAACTCTATCTTTTAACAGGATCATGCATATGAGACTTTCAGGCTCAAGCCCAAACCAGTTAATAATAATTCATGTGAGGAAAGTTAGGATGAGACAAACAATTCAATGCCTTTACCTCCAAAATTACTTCTAATAGTAACTATACCCTTAATAGCCAATTAACAAAATTTAGAGAATATGCTGTTACAAAATATATTTTGACATATTTCCTAAGAAGCAATTCAAACAGTCATTTATGCAGAATTATTTACAAGGGACTCAAAGTGGAGTATCAGTTTTAGGCAAACCAGTATATTGGTTTAAATTTGATAAAATATTGGTGAATACAAGTTTGTGACAACAAAGAACTTTGGGGTTTAGTAAACTTAAAAATGTTCTACACAATCATTAGATGAATCTAAATTATATAAAAAAACTGTCTGAACTGGTTAATCTGAATCATTTAATGCATTTCATTGTACTCAAAGTTCAGATCAACAAGTCAACAAGTGGTACATACATGCTGTGAAACAAGTTACCACTTAAATCTTTCAGATACAACAAGCACAGATTAACCAAGTCTGACTGTACCTAATCTATACTAACAGATGGTTTGCTCTTACTTCAATGCTATGTTTTTAATAAGCACATATACAAATGTGCTAAAACAAAGGCAGCAATTATAAATATTTACTAGAATGACAAGAACTGCTATTTGAGCATAAACTATCCTGTCATTCGTTTCTGAAGCCGTATCTTCACTAATTTGTCTTCTGGTTTTAGTAGTCTTCTATCCTATTAACTCGGAGGGTTACAGATCATCTGAAAGTTTCACACTGGTATAGGAAAGGAATGTCTGTTCGATGCAGTCTGGAGATAAAGAAAGAGTTGTACTTCAGTTCATCGCAGTGATTCACTAGAAGTAGCGTTGCTAACTGACGTTAAACCTAGAAGCAGAAAAGAAGCAGTCTTCCCCCCCTCCCCCGCCGTCAGGATGGGAGAAATAAGCAAAAATTTACTGTTATTTTGCTATCATTTCAAAAGAACACCTGAGAGTATTTTATAACTGTAGAAGTAATATTTGTTATTTATTAAAACTAATAGTCACTGTAGAGGAAGTTACCTGTCTATGCAAGAACAAGGACATTTAAGTGTGATAGCAATTAATTTGAACTTCTTTTTTCAATACTTAAGATGCTTCAAAAAAATAATATTTACGTGTCCAGCACTCTAAACACTCCACAGACCTCATGAGCCCATGCATTCTCAGTGATGCTTACAGGTAAAGAAAAAATTCAAAGCCACTGAACTCAGACAGGACAACTCATTAACTTCAGTTAATGCTGAATTAATTAGCATTTTGTCCCAAAGCAGAATTTTAACTGCAGGAGAGCAAAGAATCCCAGACCACATTATCCTACACTCTCATTATTCTCTTCAAGCTACAGTTTTCAAATACCAATTAGTCCTAACAATTGTTTTTGAATAGTATTTTTAAACTTTATTGTACTGAAAGCTAACAGATATTTTCAGTCTCGACTCTACAAATTTCAGTATCCTGAAGAAGCTACCACATTACTAAGAAAAAGAGCAAGATGTAACTATTGTAAAAAGGAAATGCTGTCATACAGATGACAATTTAGGTTGGTTACTGAAAGGCAATACATGCCTTAGTTATTTAACTTTAACTTACCACATAATTTTGACAAAATGGCACATTAAAAAGAAGTATTATGTTACAGTTATGTTAACAGATTTCTTCCATGATCAAGAACTATATAGTATAGCATAGATATTTACCATTAGCTGTTTTTAAATGTATATCACTGTCTTATATAAAAGGAACCGTTCTTTTCTAGGCAAATACTGTCTCAGTTTTTTTCAGGCTTCAACAATGTGTTGCTGGTTACGATCCTGTGACCAATCTTGGAGAAAAGTTACGAACACCGGCTTTGTTACAGCAAACATAGCTTCTCAGTTAAGTCAAAATACAGTATTTAAGCATCCTAAGTAAACTGCAGAGTAATGAAAATGCTCCAGTACTTATTTCTAGGCTTAAATTTATCTTGTCATGCAATTTAAGTAAAAAAAGTTGAACACAAACGGAGTCCCCTGGTTTAAGTTACACAGTGAAGTCCAATAGATCCACCTAAAGGATAGAAAGTATAAAAATAAAAAAAACAGTGGATATGTGCCAGACTGATTAGTCAGCTACCTGAAGGATATAAAAAGCACATTGTTGCATACACAATAATCATACTTGTACATGACTGTCTTAATCCAGTCATGTAAAGAGAAACAATACCCATCTATTGTTTGCATGTTCAGACCCATGTCAATCAGATTTAATATGCAGGCAGATTAGTGCTTCCTAACTTGCTGACAACAGGTTGACTACTAAAGCCAGTTTTCCAACACAAAGGACAGTATCCTGACAGGCAGCAGACACTGTTTCTTGCTTAGGAAAAACAACAGGTTCCTCTTTGTTTTTGTTACTGAGCGTTAGTTCCAGGGAGGACTGGAGGCATTATTTACTTTCAAATTTCATGACTTCAAGAGACTTGAGATATTTCCAAGTCCATGTAGAATATATACAACATTCACGACAGATGTTCAAAAACCATGAGACTTCTGTTTTGTGACAGAAGTTTGATTATTTATTTTTAAGTATTTCATTCTTCTCAGTTTTCCTGGGAGACAGAATCTTATCACTAAAAATTGCTTACCTTCAGTACAAGAAAAAAAATCTTGTTCTGTGAGCAGCTGCCATGCTTTCAGACATATTTCTGACTTTTAGATAATTAACAAAGCCTCGAAAGAACAGGAGGAGTCCTGAAAGTGTAGAAAATGCACAAAATGAATTATATCAACCTAAGTACACGCTATCTCACATTATTCTTATTAAAATAATTTTTTAAAATCTAGATTATACTAAGTAAAGAGAGGTCTTTATGCATCATTCACAAATTCAACACGCAAGTCTTCTGCTTTTATCTTGTAATATTAGCATACACCCTTATGGAAGGCTTTTCAGAAATTTTACACTCATTCTGGGTTCAAGTATCATCTGCTAAAAAGACTGCATGAAAGAACTTAAAAAGAAGAAAAAAAATAAGAAAAGAATACATGCTGCACATTCTTTTCAAGTAGAATTCTTAAAATAAGTTACTAGTGTGTTAGAAGACTACTCAAACCACAAAACGTACCTTTAGAAATGTATAAGATAAATGTACTGCAAGTCAAAAGGTGGGAGGAGGGGGAAAGGGGAAAGACAGACAGTACAGATTGCTCTAGCAACAAGCCAATAATAAATTATAGCAGATTATGGCTTAAGATTTAACCATCCAGGAAAATACACCTGTCCAAGAAGAGGAAGAACAACAGTTGATTCAAAGAAAATTACTCAACATGTGTTACGATTAATTTTTTTTTTGTCAACTCCACATTTCAAATTATTTTAAAATATTTAAATTTAACTGCATTTGAAAGAATATTTCCGCTCTGATAAGAGGAACAAGAGATACAGAATAGTAACACGGAAGTTACAGTTGCAACAATGGAAATCACTAACATGATGTTATTTTATCATTTTATCAATTCAGAGATTCACTGGACATCTGAACAAACAAACCCAGAAAAACACATTGTTGCATAGTGGACACAGCCTTTTGGTCCATTTTCCTCCACTAAATAAACTTCAACAGATTAATCCATTCCTCAGTTGGATCAGGGAGAATCCAACACAGACAAAATAACCTGCCCAAAGAGTTGCGGGGGTCGAAATCTGAATTCCACATCCAGTGGAGAGAAACACGAGCCTAGAAAGCAATTGTCCTCATTTAATGAGCACACAGGTACCCTGAAGATATATGCTTATGTGTATATATACACATGTACATTATGATTCCAAAGGTTCAAATGAAAATCTAAACTGAATCTTAACAAGTTTAGCAAAGGATTTCATCCTTTTCATCGTCTTGCATCCTAATAAATAATCTCTATGGTTACATTAATATTGCTATGTGATGCACTTGTTCTTCCTGCTCTCCAGGTTGAGACTTCGGAGTTTTTTTTCCTATGCTCATTTCTTCTCTAAATGCTTTTTACTGGTAAATTTTTATTTTATTTACTTTCTTTTTGCTTTTTAAAAACCAAAGCCTCATTAGAACACACACAAAAAAACCCCAAACACAGAGAATGGTCTGCTAATCACTGGAACTTTGACCTAAGCCAGACACATTTCTGCGATTAAGGTGAATTCTGCATGGAGAAGAAAGCACTAAGATCTGGATCGAAAGTCTACTAAAAAAGCTGCTACCCAGACGTTACCAGAGATAGTCCCACGTTCAACTGAAAAGCAGCTGAAACAGCAAAAGGTGGGCAGGCAGCTCTTAAGGTGCCTGAAAGCATACTTTCTGCATTACACATGTTGGAAAACCAGTCCAAGTTCAACCCATATTTTATATTTCTCTGTTTAGGGAAGGAAAAAAAAAAACCACTTTCTATTGTGTTCTTCAAAAAGAAACATTGGCTAACATTTAAATTTAAAAATTAGAATTGTCTCTCTTCAATTTGTTCGCTGTACATGACAGCTCCTTGGAAGTAGACTACTTCACTTTTCCACAAAGCGTGAGCAGATTTTTCCAGACGTTGAAAGAAGGGAAGGGAGCAGAAACAGATAGGTGAACACCAGAAGGGAGGAGAAGATGGCAATAGGTGGGCTCAAGTACGTCAAAGGACTATGCAAAAGAAAGAATCCAACTCAGTTCATTCACTTCCGAAGGGACGCAGGACATGCTACTTTGCGTGCTCTAATGGGAAAGTTATCCGAAACAATGAAACACAGACCTGGTTGGCAGAGCTCCCGTGACTTGATAATACTCCCCCATGTCCTGCTAAGTAGCTCTGTTGGGTTAAATCCTTCTATGGTGTTCTAGCAATCTTGGTATATCTACTTTATCAGTTGGCAAATTTCATGCAAAACATTCATAAGACAAGGGAACATTGACTGCTGCATGCCTCACAGTGCCTTTTATTCCAAGGCATATTATAAACTTTGTGAGTTAAAGAAAAAAAATAACCTTCAAGGCTGAAGATAAGGCTTTCCTAAATCTAAGTGAGCTAACTTCCGAACAAGCGCTGCAAAAGACTAGGGAAAAGAGCAACTACACACAGCTTTTTCCATAGACACAGTGGGGGAAAACGTGAGGGGAAGAACACATTATTTTCATCCAAGTGAAAATAGTGTCAAACCCCAACTTCAGGCACCACAAGGGTTTGTTTTAATTAAAGGTTTATCTGGAGATGTTTGTACCTGTAAAGAGTCATTTCACTTGCTACTTAAATGCAATCACCTCAGACAGAACATGAAAGCGTTCAAGGGACTGGTGCTGTGATGCGTTAAACATCTGCAGTTTCTATATATCTCAAGCAACCAAGTGCACAACAGTAAAAGAAGCTGAGTATTAAGAAGTCTGATGAATGCCCTCGAACTTTACTAAAAGGCAGACAGAGAAAGTTTTAGGTAACATTGTTCAAGATTTCTGGCATTTCTTGTGAGATAAATAGCAAGTCACAAACAGTCAGGATCTCAGTGTTGGTAGTTTTTGTTTGGGTTTTTTTGGTTTTGTTTTGGTTTGGTTTTTTTTAAAATTTACTCAACATTTCATTCTAACATTTGCTGTTAGCCATTTGAGTCAATTGACTCAAAGGGAAGAGTGCCACCTACTGAACCAGCAACAATATACTATGCTTCCAGAGCTAGAAAATAAAATGGATAGTAGCATTCACTTCTGTAAAAGAAAATCATTCCAGATTCCATATTCAAATTACAAAATCCACAGTAGGAAAAAAGGTATAGTGGTTGGGGTTTGGTATACCCTAATTAAAAACAGACAGAAGAGCAGAATTTGATGCGCATATGACTTTGAACGTGGGCAGACAGACGTCTTAAGAGAAAGCTGACATCATGGGAGCACTGTGATCAGAAAGCATGAAGCCATTCTCTTGTCCGACTGAGAAACTACTGATGCAGTATGCATTTCAAAGGGCTAGAAAAGGACGTTTTGTGTCTTATGTACAAGACAGCAGACTCCACCTTCCTAGGATCAGTCACATTTCTTAAAATTTAATACTTGACATACAGGTTTATACATGTAAGTACTCAATATTACTCACTTTTCAATATGTTCTCTATATAAAGCCGAAGTTTCATTACACAGTTCTGCACCCCTAGATCAGTAGAAGCAGCTTAAAAAGCACAAATTACAAGTCTCAGGTATGTACATAATTACATATGCAGAACAAAATTTTTTGAGCTGAAGCTTATTTGAATAGTCCACAGTTCCCACAATAACACCACTATGGTAACCAATAACCTCATGAACACTATGGAAATAAAAACAACACACAAAAATATCAGCAGCTAAAGAAAAACATATAGCTAAACATGTTACAGAACTCTTACTTACAATGACATGATTCATCTTTAAGTACCTCCACATCAAAACAGAAATGTTTTCAATTGCCACTTACCAAGTACAAGAAATATCCACCAAAGCCAGTACTGTCCATTGAAATATCCAGTAAAGTAATCTGAAAACTGAAATTCATACATGAGGCTTAGCTGCAGTAAGACAGATGACTAAGGCAGATTTAATGCACTATGCAAATACAGAAAGCACAGTGGAAAAAGCAAATTTAAATAAAAGTAATACATCCAACTAAAACACAAAACTGGTATTTGTGCAGCAGTTTAATATACAAATAACACTTCCAGTGTCAGTTGGTCTGTGGCAAAGTTATTTTAAAACCTCTAAAAAAATATATGTGTGTCTAAAAAAACCCAAACGTGTATTACTTGCCAGAATCATCTGACATTTTCTATTATAATGAATCACCACTTGTCGATTTTCCTTTTTTCCCCCCAATGCCTGCCATCCCAAACACATTACAGCAGCCTGCTGCTTTAGATATTAACACCAAAAGCCACATTAGTTTAATCTTATCAGACAGGGATGTTCTGCTGACCCCTCAAAAGAAGAGCTTTTGACCTTCTGTATACCCCCTACTGTTAATCGCTGCCAAGAATACCAGCCCCATAAAGACCCCCAACTCATTAAAGTCTTTTCATTTTCAAACCAGCATTCAGTTCCCAGCAGTGAGCTGAACGCAACTAAATGAACCTTGAAGTGGCATTTCAACTGTTCCTGTTAGTGACCATGGTAGACAGTTTTGTCCTCCCTGTGATGTGGGAGGCAGCTGGAGGGCAGGGTGTGACGGTACTGGAGACAGGTATCTGTGCCTTTACCAGACTCCAGACTGCATGCTTCACTGATAAAAAGGCTAATCAAATGTCTCCAAAACTCACATAAGAAGTAGGAATGGGGAGATGTGTGAAAAGTTGCCTGAAGGAATAAAGTAACCTATTTAGCAGCTCTGCACACTTTTCATACACTTTCCATCCTCCTATCATTCACTACGTTTACTATACCCTGCCACAGTGCTTCCCATTTGCCATTTCTACAATATTTCAGAAGTATCAACCAAGAAATCAAGTAATTCAGGCACATAATTCAATTTACTCTAAAAATAGGGAAAAAAAAAAAAAAAAAAAGAGGAGAAGCTACTGGGCCATATATGCAACAAGATAAAAATCCAAGACATTTAAAGAACTTTAGATGTAGTTGTTATTTTTTAATTCAAGAAACTGTGCACTGAGATCCACATGTTTTCTCCAGAATAAAGCCAAATAATGTGAATTCTTTAAAGGTTTAATCCTGTACTGTATTCATTTCTATGGGCAATCCAAGGGGTGTGTGTGTGTGTGTGGAAATCAAGAAACAGAATTGCTAAGTTGAACTAAAGAATTCGTACTTACATTACCCCTATATAAATACTAGCATTTCTATGATTTGGCAGAGTAAGCATGTAATATTTTGACATTTCATTAAAATATCAAATGAATACTCAGTTCCCAGGAAGCTGACAACATTATTAGTCCCATCTCGCTTGATAGTCAGTATTTTCAATTCTCTAAACATATATACCAATACACTTTTTTAAAAGTTACAATTTAATTTAATTGGAAAGAAGATGTACTAAAACCAGCAATCAAATACTGGCCTACGTGCATTACTCTCACACTTTCTTTAGGCAGAAGCAGCCATAGCTGCAGAATTCCCTCAAGAGCAAAATTGTGCTTTTGTTCTCCCCTGCCCGCCCCCCCCAGTAAAAACTGGTACAAAGAGAGCATGTGTGAACTCGGACTGTTTAGACACTATAAAGTTTTGTACTACTGACCCTGAGTGAGAAAGGGCAGCACAAGGCTTTGGAGGAGCTTGAAACAAAGGAACAGAACAATTTTGCGCACACACGCATGCTTGTGTGTCACCATTACAACAAAATTGTCAACATACACCTTATGGGCTTTCTGCTATGGTCTCTAGAAAGGGAGATAACACAGGAAGACGATAATCTTCGCTATGAAAAAAACCCACCCCTGAGGTCTTGAAATTGGTCAGCTCTAATATTTTAGAATTAGTAACAGAATATAGTCTAGAACACAGTAATTCTTCAAGAAAGTTTAGCATATATTAATTTTGTGTTTGTAACGAGCACATTTGCAAGCTGGAATAGTAAAACTGACACAAGTGACACAATAATAAAACTGAGCAAGTTCTGCCCTCTGTTTAGTATGACTCAAGGGAAGCTGAAAACATCCCCAATGAACACATAGTTGACAAAGTCATGTCTTCTCGCTCCCTTAAGATAAATTCCATCCCAAACCCTGAATTCCAGCTAAATACACCAGAATCACATCTGGTCCAGTAGCATGCCCCTGCCCTGGGGAATCAAAAAAAACCCCACAAAACCACCTCGGTTGTAAGAAGGATGCAGGACATGTCCAGGAAGGACCATGCAATCTCTTCTCTCTACAATCCTTGTACTATTGTGCTAAGACCAAATCAAGTTAAGTTGTTAGCATGCATACAGGAAAAAAAAAAAAAAAAAAAAAAAATTCAGAGTTGGCAGGGCATAAAAGATGACTAAGTTATCCAAGATCTCTTTCTTCATTAGACAGGATGAGATTTTAAATGTTGTGTCTCAGAGACATGTAGAATTCAAGTTCAGAAAGAATCATTATGTTTCATCTAGCATCCACTTAGTCAGCTAAGTAACTTCCATTTGGCTAACATACCTTTCTGAAAAGTATCTAGTCTTGCAGTGAAAATATCAAGAAATTGAGCATCTAAGATGGTAAAAATGTGACTAACTTCATATTCAATTTTGACTTGATTCAGTATGTATCTTACAAGGAATAAAAGAATCAGATACAAGGAAGAAATGTTTTCTGATCTCCCCCCTCCCCCAATGGGCTGAGCCATTTATAAAATCTTTCACATAGGACACTATAATCCCAGTGACCATTTTAGATACTTGCTCCACTTCTTCTGTATGCTTTTAAATATTTGTGCAAAGAATGAGTCATTCTGCATTTATTTTAGTGGAAAGATGAACGCAAAACGCTATGTCAGATAAAAATAGATTAAGCTTCATCATTAGTAAGCACATATGAATATAGAGAGCAAGTAAATTCTCTACTAAAATGGAAGTTAGCGACAATTCTAGGCACTCTGTTAAGCACTGGAATTTAATATACTGATTTTTAATTCCATTATTATATATCCTTGAATAAATTGTTATGATTTGGTTCTACAAACACAGTCTGCACAGTGTGAATCAAGAAACATACCCGTACAATGAGAATCCATTTGATCAGGGACAGACCAAATCCACAGATTGCACCATACCTTCCAGCTATGGTATTTGTTATACAGAAGGATAAACAAAATCCAATCCAGTTGAAAATAAATGCCACTATAAAATAAAAGAAACAGTAGCTTCTGTTAAACTGTAAAGCTAAGCAAACAGACTTAACATTAATTTCACTTTTAAACTAATAAGGACATGCTTACACAGTCAGTAATTCCCTTCCGGTAATTCAGGCTTTCAGAGATTGACTTTGAACCCAGACATTCCCCATGGTATAGTCACTCAATAACAAAGCAAATGGTAAACAGGCTGGAACCTACTACTTTAAACAACAGAAAACTCCAACATAAAATAAAGTATAACATGGCTACAGAAATCTAACCAGGTGACACTAGACATGAAGGGTAAATGCAAACAAAGGACTATAACATACAAGACTTGGATTAAAACAAAGGAAAAAAACCTTGCTACACTTTTATAACCAAAAATATAGTTATATGCACACATACGTGCATGTATCTAGGCTGCATATTCAGCTTTATCCAGTTTGGATCGAACAGAATAAAAGTATCTGCTCTTGCTCTGTAAACATAGTATAGAAACGAAGACAAGTTGAGAAGCTGGTGTTTCATTGGTTACTGTCTTCTCTTTTAGATCTATATTCAAGCATAAGATATAAGAAGCCTTGGAAGTTTTACATAGAAGCTTAAGAAGTCAAAAACCAAAAAGCACATTGAGCATAACTACCACTGTTACTTCAGTTAACACTTTCACACAACTCCCAGTAGTTTTACAATTTAAAGTTTCATATCTGCCTATGTACTTGGCAATCAACAACAACATCTGTATTGACTTCAGTTTGCACACATCAGCTCAAAGTGTGGGAATTCCAATTAGGTGACATCCCACCTTTGGGAGTAAGTGAGGGCAACTAACGAAAAAACCATCAAACATAATAGCTGGGGCAGCTGGCGGAAGACAACAATACAGGAATTCTGGAGGGGACAAGACAGTGGAAAATTGAAAACATTTGGGAAGCCCACAATAAACACAAAAACCACTGAAGAGGCAAACAGGAATGGAAGGGGAGCAGAGGGGAACAAAACTCCTGCACACAAATCCTTAATGTTTTAAATCCCCAAACTTAGGGAAAAAACAAAACCCACACAAAAATCAGACATTAAATCACCACAGGAAAAAAAGTCTGTCTTTCCAGTAGAAGTTTGAACACTTGTAGCAAAACATTAGGAACAGAAAATTGGTCAACAGTTTTCTTAAATAAAAGTCAGTTTGGGAGGATTATCTATAAACAATCACTTTTTCTGTAATTTAAAACCTTGTTACAACTCCTCCAACAATCCACATGAAGATGCAATGATTTGCCCACAAATGCAAAATTAGTCTGTAAAACTGCAGTGGGATTCCATAAACTGTAAAGAAATTGAAGTTCCAAGACAAGTTTTGGAAGACTTTACATCAACACAGTCATTTTGTACAAGTGAGAAAACATCTTGCTTCGGAGAGAGCCATAAGTAACAGACGGTGGCAAGGAGAAAGCTTACTTTTATGCTAGTTATTAAATTTAAAAAACAAACAAACAAACACACACCAAAAACACCAACCAAAAACCAAACAAAAAAACCAAAACACCAAAAAGCACAACAAACAACTTTGAATAAATGCTGATCCAAATAGGTATACGCAGAGAAGAACAAACAGAGAGAGCATTTCTATTACTTAAGAACAACACTGTGACCCTAACATTTACCTATCTTTCCAAAACACAACAAAAGCATTTACATTTGAGAAAGCTTGGATACATTGTTTTGAAAACAGGATTTCCCTATTTTAAGCAAGCTCTCCAAATCCACCATACTTTTAAGAGTAACAGATTTCAGACGCTAGTTCTTCAACATGTCTGTGTTCCTCTCCCAGTGTAACAGCTTACTGCTCTCTCCCTTTCTCCCCACTACTCAAGCTACAAAGGGTGACTTCGATTGTGGCTCCAAAGATAGGCATGCAAAAAAGGACAGAAGATAGACATGTTTCTAATGGACTATGCAGACTAGAGGAAATCCCAGAATACTTACAATTTTAATAGGTATATATTAAAAAATAAGTATTTTTACAACACCTGAACTAATTTGTACACACATTATAAAAATTAGAGATTTCCCAATCATAAATATAGGAGGGGGAAGAAATTAGTTCTTATAATCTAAGTTGAACAGAGTGACAGTTTTACCCTCCTTTCAATTTGACCTAAAGGAATATTCAAAATCACTGGATAAGTGTTAGATGGATATTTAACACTAAGTTGTTTGCCCAACTCCTGAAAGCAAAGGCATCAGCATGTTCCAATGTTGTTCAAAATAGCTTTTTTCCCTTTAACCATCAATTTATATAAGCAGACAATACAAGTGGGAAGGAAAAGGCATAAATTATACAAAAGTTGTAAACTATGCAAGTTCACATACTCCAATAAAACTGGACCACATACAGAAGAAAAATCTCACTATTTAAGTTTTGATCTGTAACTATCCACTAGAAAAATGCTGCAGTGAGGACCTAATCAAAATTCTCTGTCTTCAGCAGTATGAGGAACATATTACTTCCACCTCTGTGAAACCTAGGCAATGTATTAGGGAGATTCTCCCAACATTGCCTTGGTGTTGTATCATTTTAACAAACTTAAGATGGGCAACAATAATGTCTACATGTTTTCAATCTTCCCCATTGCTTCCCTCTCACCTCCCCTGTGTCCTATTGCTACTCCAAAAATCATCTTCACTGTCTCATTCTGGTTGCAAAATCCATTCTTTCCTTTCAGAAATGCATCTCCAGCTTCTGAGTGGACTGCAACAAATAACATTATCTGTCTTCCAATTGTTTTCCTCCACATCCAGATTAGCCTCATCTATCTACCTGTATCTTCTTCCACGATCATTTCGATGTATATCCTCTGCCAGTCACGCAAGTTGTCTGAGCCCTACGCTGCATCTGCTTAAGAGTTACTAATATTATTTTCTGTATAATTCCTGCCTCACCTAATTATCACAATAAAAGTTGCCATAATTTTCATCCCTATATTACCAAAGAGAAGCCACAGCACAAGTTTCTCCACCAAGCTGAGAAAGAAAATACAATGGTGAGGGGACAGACTAGCAAAAGGAAGCATCTACTATTTTCTGTAGATGTATCTACTTCCTTCTCTGTCTGCTAAATAGAGACAACTAAGTTATTGCATGAGCTTCTTGCTGCAACAAATGCAATCCTCCACTATTTGCCTGCATCCACTCACTTGGCGAAATGTAAATGACACTGCTCAGCAGTTAGAGATGACCTTGTCCTTCATACTGCTTCAGCTTCCCATGACATTCTCATACAGACAGTGTTCCTGGTCTGACACTAATACACGCTATCATAAAGAAGAAAGCCATTCCCAAAAATGGGATAGAAAGTCTAACAAGCTGCTACAACCACATCATGGTTTTAACTAAAAAAAGCATTCTTAACTTCTGTTTGCCCATCCTCTTCATGCAGCCAGGTTCTGTGTTCATCTTCTAGACTCCCACTGCAAAACTAACCACTCTGCAGCAAGAATTGTTTCCTATCCCAGAGACAGCTAGCATTTGGATTCATACTTGAGCCCAACTTTCAACCACTGTCCTCTTTCTTTTAACAAATTTCAGGCATTTAGATGAAACTCACACTGACTGCCCTGGCATCATGATTTCAGTCTCTTTCTTTGCTATTCTAACACCATACAGACAAGCGGGACTGATAAAAGTAAGATTTTTGAGTTTTATACGTTCCTGAAATGCCAACAAGAGGAAAAAGTAAGTCTGTATTAATGTAATTCACATAAAAAGAATATAACCATTAGAGTTACTTCCTCATGACAACAAAACTCATAATGAAAAACAGGTAAGAAGTTGCTTTTTGGGATGAGGAGAGTTGGACTAAAGGTTTTTTTTAATAAAAAGTCTTCTTGATATCCAATGTGGTGCTCACAACAATTATGTTATACTTGTACTTCTCTTTATGGTTTGCGGCAAGATAAACCCAGCCAAAATACAAAGCACAGGATGTTCTAAATGTTGTAAAAGTCTTAGAATCTGACATGCAAAATAAGGCTATCCATCAGCTATTTCCACACGCAAAGCCCTCTTCAGAGGGGCAGTGGTCAGCATAGGATTTTTCATATCAAAAATTAAAGTTAGAAATCAAAAGTCTTTTATCTATCGGCAAATCCAAAGAAGTTGCAGTAAAATAATTCAACTTAGTTTTGACCAACAAGCTTGTATCTATTGCCATTCTTCGTTCTCCAATAACTACAAGGGCAAGGCAAAGATGACGTATGAAGCTGTACTTTGCATTAACAATTTATTAATCCATGCTTGCTTTTTATCAATGCTCATTAAGTTGCAAACCAATATTGACACATCCTTTCATTCTACTCCCACAACTTACAGTGAACAAAGAAAACTTAGTTTTTCAAGTTATTAAGCAATCTTGTGCAAAAGTTTTGAGTTGCACATATTGCAATACATCAGAAAATGCAACGATGACAAGCGTACTAGAACAAATGTGCTTTTTCCTCAATTGTTCTTGTACTTCACTTACTGATCTTTTTTACTTAGCTTTCCACAGCTACACATTAATCATTTGTCTTAAGTTTATTTTCAGTATCATGAAACGAAGCCAGCAAAACTGGTCTGAAGACCTATGTTTTGGTCTGAAGACCAAATTTTAACCATGGCTCAAGCCTGTGATAAGATTACAACAGCAACTATATATACAAAAAGTGACCATGCTCAGTTACATCCTTTATTCCCCGATTTGTTTGTCCAATGACTTATTATTTTAATATACAGCAAACACCAAAGAGCTTAATGTTTCATACCTGGCCTAGGTTTACTAAGCATACTGCAATAAATAATACTTTTCAGGTCTTCACACACCACTAGAAATTATTCTTCCCACTCCTGCAGAGAATTTATTCCATTCTTGAACTGGGATACATTTTTGCTCCTTCCTGAAGGGCTCACCTGAAATCTGATGATGATCACTAGAAGCATTTGCTATCAACTTCAACAGACAATTTTTTTTTCTACACAGTGATGAATGTTCAAAAACTTCCCTAGGCAATTTATTTCTACTGCTTCATTACCCTTGTTGGTAAATTTTTCTTAATGCCCAACTAGAAGCTTCCTCACTCCAATTATTTCTTATTATATACAACACGCATGGAGAAACCATGTAAGTCAAATTCTTTCTACATCAAGAAAGAAGTTAGATGATTGTGTATGAAGGTCAGCCAGGCTCCCCTGATAACCAGAGAGAAATAAGCATTCCCAAAATAGTTCCTTTATCTCCTTCCAACATTTGCAATTTCAGTCAAATGACTTCCCCTCAGCTTCTCTTGCATGACTAAGGGAAACCTGCATAACATTCATGATGTGGACATACAGAAGTCAGGTTTCCTAAATTCACACAGAGGAATCTTCCCACCAGAAATTTAGACCACGCTTACCACTCCTCGAGAAGCGTACAACAGGAGGCTGTGCTCACCCTCAGCTTGTGCTACAACTCTGCATTCCAAGTTGTGCCTGCCTGAAACCCCCTACGTAGATACCTTAGCTTGCGTGCAGTTTATTGACTGTTTGAAGCATCTAATAGCTTTGAAAACTGTATGAACATTAGTTTACAAAATTTTGGTATGGTTATTATCTGCTCCAATATAGCATCTGGGACAGTATGTACATTTACATTTCTCCACACCATGAGATGTTATTGGTGTAAGTTGTACATGGTGTTTAAATCGCCCAGATGTTGTTCAAAAAGAACAAATCAGATCTCTGTATGAGAACTTAAAACTTCGGCTGTATGATGGAACACTTTTCTCCATTTCTTCCTCCTTATTCACCCATTTGTGAGGTTCAAATTAGTATTCATTTTTCCTAGGTTGTAGGGACAACCCAAAACTCCCTTCCATGGTTTCAAAGAATCCAGATGAGCTCTGCAATTCCTTTTGGGGCCCACAGGTGAAAAGGATGGTTGATATTTCTAAAGCACTCCTTAAATATAAGGGAAAAACATACAAGCCTTTTATTACTACCCAAAACGACCTCCTTCACATAATGAATCAGCATGAGCCAATCGGACATGATTCAAAAGACTTCCACTATCAGCAGATTAAGCATGAAAACCAAACATTTTGGGTCATGACAGTTACTTGCTCTATCACCATTACAGCTGTGTTCAAAATGGAAAGAAACAGCTCAGAAATTCCTCCTTTTTGTTGTGCATACTAAAAAAAAAAAAAAAAAAAATCACTCTGAGAAACTCACCTATTAACAACTTCCTCTGGCATTCTGAAAAGTTTCTACTACGCTGTATAAGGCACAGCTGACTTAAAAATACATAACAGAAAAAAATATATTAAGTGATCTGATAGCAAAATTTGCTGCATTTTGCATTCACAGCAAAGTTACCTCTACATCAGAAACGGACAAACACCAGCCCTGACCATCAGAGAGCAGATTCTTTGCTCTCCAACATAATCACAGATTTCAAGAGCAACACCAATTTCTTAAAACATATGATTTTACCACATATTAGAAATAAAATAGGTTGTTTTCGAAATTTTTCCACTAAGTTTCTGAATCAAGTGCTAAAGCAAAAAAACCCACCTGTTCATACAAAGGACTTTCATTCTTTAGAGTATATTGTCTCATTCTATTTAGTTATGCTAAACAGAACAGTATTTTTTTAGATGGGAAACAGGTTTGTAACTTGCATGCACCAAGCTCCTAAAACAAACAAAAAACCCAAACACACAGATCTGGCCACTAGATGGCCTAAAGGCAGCAATTTTATGCAACTTGAGCAGCTACCACTAGATGGTAGCTACATATCACTAGTTGATTGCAATGTGCAGGTAAGCTCAGTAAAAAGTTTATTTTATTGTACTACAGTTGAATAAAATGAAATTAAAAAAGCTAGCTTCACTGTTTTATATTTAAAACAAAGGCAGCCTGCCCTGCCCCGCAAGATCTTTCTACCAGCACTGTATATAAGTCACGGGAGGAGGTGGGAGAGCACATAGGGAACAAGCCGTTCGTTCCATGCTCCTCTCACTAGAGCACAGTTCCTGACACTCTTCTCCTGCATTTTAACTAAGTAAGGGAACTTATTCTAGGCTCTCTGTGATCTGCCACCTCTACTTGTGGCGTTGAAACATATCCCACCCTGAAAAAAAACAAAATATAGCCATACTGTAAATTTCATTTTAACTCCTGCTCTCTTAAATCTACATACATCAACTTTATGGAGACTTTTATTTCCTTATTAGGGGGACAGGAATACACCACCCACTACTTACAATCTACCCTTATTAAGTTAAGCTCATTTTTCATTTAGTTCTCCAATTTCCCTGAGAAAAACTACTGAAAATTAATACTACAGGTCTTTAAATGCTATGAGGTTTTGTGAACTCCTCATATTATGAACACAAAAAACAAGTAAACTTTATCAATTTCCGTATGTAACCGGTATCCATAACAGCCAACACAGATCCCAATTAAGCATACACTTGCATAAATATCTTGCTATGTGTAAGCACTCACTTTATGCATTTCATTCATAGGCGAGCAAAATTGGCAGTAACATAGTCTTAGAATAATCAAGAAAAATTATGATCTACAGAGGTTTTTTGTCAAATGTGTAAAAGTAGTGCTCTGTGCAGTCAGTCTCAGCTAAACAGCTATTTGAAGAGAAAGTTACCAGTTTATCCAAGTAAACATCTGCATTCTTGAGGATGCACACAAGGTGCTGGGCATGCAGTTTTGGCCAACTGCATGTGAGTATCATTGGATCCTTTTTGGAGCCTTTGATTCCAGTTCAGCTTCTGCATAGCAGGATTTTTACTACTACTGTGCTCCTAGCTGCAAAGCTAAGAAGTCTGTTTTCAGCTGTGATTTTAAGGACTTAAAACATATTAGAGCCAACAATCCACTTGACCTCCAAGTGCAATGCTGATGAAGGCCTGAACCAGGAACAAGCTCACACATAGAGTAAATACAAAAACCCATTGTAGCACATAGGGAAGGGGAAAAAAGGGAAAAAAAAGAAAAATGAAGCCATACCCCCCTTTGCCCCCAAGAATATATACCCTTTCTACGGTCCAACTACAGAAAGAGGTCAGACTACAAAACTCACTTTGTTACCCTATATAAATATTTATATATTTGCTATGTGAGGTAGACACATACATTTTTATCCCAAGATGCAAACACCACATTGTCCTAGTACATTGTACACCAACATGTAAAAAACGTCCATGAAAAGTTCTGTAATCTGCATCCGTAACAGTTAAATAAAGAGACTGTGAAAGACATAAAAGAAACAAGAACTAAGATGAGATCTAGGTTGAAAGACATGAAGGAAATTTCAGTGGATAATCAATCAGCTTTCATCCTGATAAATGCTAAAAACAGCTACATCCCCAACACCAAGCTTCCATCCAGGTTGCCAAACACATTTCTTTCAGAAAGGGAAAATATCCTCAGAAATTAGAAAGAAATACGCAATTGGCAAAACAGAAGCAGCTTCTTTCTAGAAGTAACTTATAGTGGCTAAATCTAACTTTGGTCAATGAAGTACATAAGTTACAAGATGAGATATGTACCGTGCACGCACAGAGTACCTGACAAAGTGCTATAGCACTTGCTGGTTGCAATCAGACATTACCTGAAGACAGTACATTTTTATATGCTAGTGGTTACTTCAACCTGAAAATAAGCGTTGTTGGATTTGTTCCAAAAATCCACCCACAGCTATTTAATTCATTACACTAACATCAGCAACTTTTATATGGCACATCATCTCTCTCTCAGATTTGTTCTATTTAAAAATCGATTGCCGGATTTCTGTGATCCAGCCTTTAATGCAAGTTGGTAGTCCAACTAGAAGTTGATAGAATTTCCCAATTCATAGTTAACTGTGCAGCCTTGCTATGCCTCAAAACATTTACTATGATTTTGCTTTGTCCCCTTATCTGTGACAGATGCCACAGGAAGAAAGTGCAACATATTTGCTACATCTGGAACAGGAAGTGTTCACATCTGTGTACAGGTAAAAAAAAAATCCATTCATTACAGTACATTAATGCAGTTTATCACAGCTATCTTTTATATTCCATAGAAAAAAGGTACAATTAAGATATACCTCAGTAGGGCTGGGATACAAGATAACTTACTGAAAAATGCCAACATGAAGATGCCATCATTGCCCACTCTAAGCTGATCTGCATCACTGAAATCATCCCGTGGTGGATACTCTTCTTCCTGGATTTACAGGTTAGTGATAATTTAGTGAAAAGTTTATTTTAGAATAACTATCTGTAGGATTAAAGTATTAATTATGTTTCTACAGCTAGAAGAAAATTGACATTTCTGTAACATGTCCACATCAAGGAAGTTTAAAAGAAAAAGAATTCATATCTATGAAACAACCCTTATTTGTTGCTTATATTGACAGAGCCCAAATTTAACTGAAAAGTTTCTGTAGAAGATACGTACATACTGCCTATTCATCTTAAACGAAGCTAGAAATTATTTCAGATGAGTACTTTGACAATCAAACCCAACAGAAATCTCTTTTTTTACTGTAACTATCTCGATATGCAGCCAAGCTATTAAATATTTTTTGGAAAAATTATTACATAGCATGTTCTATTTTTTTCCTGCCAGAAGTCTTTTAATGCTTCCCAAAATATGGAATAAAGTTTTAGAATAAGGTTAATGTCTTAAAATAAATTGCTGATGCAACAGCATTGCACTAACCAATCTGCCTATCCTATAACCCACAGAAAAACATACGCAAAGCAAAGGAGGCCTCGAGGGACACTAGAGGGCGCGAGCACATTAAAAGTATTTAAAAGTCTTCTAAACTCAAAAAGCACAGGACTTTAAGTCAAACAAAAGTAAACAGAGATGTCAGTCAAAACAATCCAAAGATTTCTCCTGCCGTGTCAAATATTACATCTTAAAATACTGAAAGTATAAGTTTGTTTTGTTTCTCAGTACTTGACTTTCAACAGAACTTGGCAGATCTTACGTATGCAGTTCCGTGCACAAGTAAAACATCGCTGCAACTGTAGGCCGGCAAACGTAAAAGTTTTCATGATGACAGCACTTACTAAAGAGAGCCTGATGAAAACTGTAAAACCAGTTAAACCCACCATTTTTATACTTAAACGAATAACATCAAAACAATGCAGGACGATTCAAGTTAAATAATGCTGTCAGTAGCAGCAGTAATATGGTCTAGACATAAGAATGAGTAACATTCTCTTCCTATTTGTTCTCCAATTAATCATAATGTATTAGAAGTGAGATATGAAATTACCTATTAAAAAAAAAATTGAAATCAAGGGAGATCAGTTCAAGTGAGATTTACTTAACTGTTTCACCCACAGCAGACACTTACTACAGAAATAATACAATTCTGATTTTACCAGATTATTCAGTCACTGAACCAAATGTTATTTTGTATATTAGGTTCATAACTAAAAGCGCATTAAACAATCACAGTGATCTAAAGCTCTGTCATGTGATTGATGTGTTCACCTTCTTCAACACAGCAAAATAATTTACCAGGGTATAGCGATTATGGTTAAAAATGTGCTAGAACGAACTGTACCAACTCAAGGCAGACAGCTTTACCCATCATAACACGACTGTGAAATTCCAGCTGTGCTCTTTATTTCAGATTAATTAACCAAGAGTCTGTATCAGATAACTTACTTTAAAAGCACTTCTATTCACATAGAAAAATCCAAGGAAAGCACAAAAGGCTAGCTGAACAACAATCTTAGGGGGCTATAATTCAACCCTACATAATTTCAGATGTCCCTAAATGGTCACCTTAAGTGACTATTTAGTTTATTTAGCTCAACTTTGCTGCAGCTACAAGACTGATGGGGGAAGGGAAAAGGGAAGGGCTGAAAATGCATTAAACAAAGAGCTGCATTTGAATGTGCTCATGTCTGAAATGTATGCCACAAAAGTTCCTTTTCAAGTCAGGACAACAAAAATATTTTCCATTTTAATTTCAGAAGGTCTATAAAACCCCATATAAAATAATTTTTGGACTTTTTTTTAAACTGTCTGCTAACTACTGTACTTCATACTGGCATTTCCGAACCAATTAGTGAATTATGCTCTATGCAAAATGTTGCTTCACAAAATTTTGCTCAACTACAGTAACAAGTTTAGCAAGTTTCTCTATACGCACAGGCTTCTCTAAGGCTTACACGTGGGAGAAACACAGGTCAATATACAATCCAGGGACATGAGAGCAGACATTTGCAAGTAGGCACTGTTGTAGTAAGTGTGAACAAATTGTAATTTATCACACTCCATGTCAAAAGGGAATTATTTTAAACCGAGTTCTATTTACTGTCTCCAAAAATTGGCATATGAAATTATCAGAATGTTTAAGGAAGAGTATCCTGTGCTTAAATCATGTTCAGCCTGTACCTACATCATCTAGTATTATGTGGTTTTATGATCAGTCCTGCAGACAGAAGACACTAATTGGCCACCGCTCAAGCCCCACTAATACTGTCTGTCTTTCACAGTGCTCTCATTTGATCTAGTTGGTGTCAACTGCCCCAGTCTTATTTCGAAATATAATTGTTTGCCACCATTCTTGAGGAATGAAAAGGGACAATGTGGAATGACTGTCCTCTATGCTGATGCTTAGAACTAAACGTAATTTCATAATAATACTTCTATTAGACGCTGACATTTTTATCAATGAGAATAATTATCTATTTTATTTATATATATTTTTTCTGTTTAATGAGAAGAATGTCATATAATAACACACACAAATCCATAAAATATATAATACTGTTTCAGTATCTCAGATTGATTTTTGACAAATTTAGCCATGTTAAGGATCATGGACAATATTTCTTGTTTGCTAAATATGCCAAGATCTGTATGAACAGAAAACTTACTGTTCGTATGACCAGAGAAGCATCTAAAAAGCAAAATATATTATCAACATAAATGGCATGTCACACAGAGTAATTTCTCTATGCAAAAGAACATCAAACAGTACACAGTATCTATTGAAGTCGAACCTATTCAATCATCCAAACCACAGTACTCTCTGTAGTATTCTGCAAAAAGAGGACTGTTTTTTTCTCCCAATGCTTTTTAACATCTTTCAAATTGAAACCTAGCATGGCATACGGTGAGACAATCACCTTTACTCAAGTCAAGAACCCAAGTTTTCAGGAACCCCTTGGGCAACTAAACTGATATAACTCTTCTCAATGCAGTGGATTTACAGAGAAAAACTTCTGAGGAAAGGGTCAAATTACTTAATAAACCCCATAAATGATACCTTCAGCATACAAAACAATATGAAGAAGTTAATGGTGGGGGAAAAAAGGCACAATGAACCCCAGAAGCATTTGTTTGCCAGCAGGAACATTCATAGTTAAAGTCTAAACTAGAGAGAACTATACCATACCTCTGGACGACTGAGGAATATTTCATCAAACAGAGTCCTAGACTCCCTAAACTGGGCGTGCTAAGCATGTAAAAACAGAAAAACATAAGACAAATGCAACTGAAAAGCGTTAAGTAAAAGCCATTCATTGCAACATACAAACAAGTCATTTAACTGTTAGCAATATTCTTGTCCATTCAAATTGACCTTTCAAAACTGACCTTGAGAATTTGAAAAGGAAAGCATCAAAAGCCAAGGTAACTAATGCTATCACTACTGATGACATAGGTCTGCTATCAATTTCTCTGATACATTGAGCTGTCTGGGAGTGTTTGAAAGAAATAAATGTTTATACACTATCTATTCTTGTAAGAAAAGCTACACAAAACCAAGTACTGAAAGTCTCAGTAAATGTTAAGTTTAGATTGTTCGTATAATCTGTGGATGCAGGGCCTATGAGGAAGTCTTTAATATGATCACACTGATGTTTTTTGTAAGATCCCTACATGATTCAGGGGAAAAAATAAGAAAGCTGTTTATTAAATGTGCTGCCTTTTTATACCATTTTCCTCTCTTTTGCTCAATGAGTAGGTTTGTAGCCTTCTTTACTGCACACTTTGGATTATACCATGAAACAATTATCAGCTTCATGGTAACATAGGTACATGGTAACATGGTAACACAAGGTAACATCAGGACATTTAACTTTTTCTAACTGTTCACATTATTGTAGCGAAGAGGCAATATATCCTCATTTTACAAGGAAGAAACTAGAGGCACAGATCATAGCAGAGTTCACATTCATAAGAGCACTGATTTCATAAGGCTGAAAATAAAAACTGGAAAAACTACATTACATCATTTGTGTATGTTCTGCAAAGTGTGTAACGCCAAGTCAGGTACTGTCTGCAGCTGTCACTGCTTGTGATCTCCAAGACAGTGAAAGTGAGAAAACAATTAACTACATACCAGTAGTGCAAAGAACTTATCTGTTCTTCCATGGGTATTCAGAGCTAAGGATCAAAATCCTTCCCCTCAAGATGGCAAACCAACACTCTAACCATAACATGACCTTCTTTTCTTACTCCAGTTATCTGCCAGATTAAGACAGTCTCATTACACAGTCTTAGTCCACCCAGTGTAAGTCCATCAGAGATATTAAAGCAGGGATTTTGTGGCAGTATCACATGGTAAGGTAATCAAAATGGCATTAATTAAAACTGCGCTGGCACATAATTTTAATATCATCTACAAAACTGGAACTCAACTTCAGCATTTCCTACTTTTTCCCCAAATCTCAACTTTGCAACCTTAATGCTGTTCCTTTAATATAGCTTGCGTGTGTGCATGCGTGTGCTTTAAAAAAAAAAGTAAATACAAAAAACCAAAAAAAAAACCACAGAAGCAAACTGAGCAGAAATTCTAGCAAACTTGAGATCTTTAGCAGTCAGCAAGACCGTGGCTTTTAGGTACACTGAGTAGACTTCTGATACTAACTTAGTACAGTCTACAAAAAGTCTACAACTTTTTAGCCAATCTCTGCTTTGGGGGAATGATGGTGTGTTCCTACTGATTTTTCACAAGTAAGTGAAATTCTTGTGGTGTCAGCACCTAGTTCTTGAATGCCAAGTTCTACTGTATGTTTTGGAAAAGCAGACTATGTAAAAGTTTATTTCTCACTTTGCCATCTACTCTCCTGCCTCTTAACTCCAGATTCCTTCTCCCTCCCTATTCCTCCTCTCTCACACACCAGCTTCAGCTCCTTTCCCAGTACCACATTTTGTCCCCACTTGGGTTCCTTTCTCCACCAATCCCAGTCTACCCTTCTACCTCCTGTTTCTCCTTTAAATCTCTCTGTACTCCCTCCATACCACTGCTCTCCATTCACCCTTGCCTTTTCTTACTTTGACTTAGACCGATCCTCTCTGATCCCTGCCTGTGCTCACTTTGAGCCAGTTACCTCCTTGCCCAACCAAAACCAGACTTCTCTTCCCACAACACATAAGCTTCAGAAGTTCAGAGTCATTGTCCTTCTTCCCTCCACCTACCACTGATGCCCTTGCAGTTGAATCAAGTGGCTTTCCCCTTCCCTTCTAACCAAAGGCCAAGAATAATAAAACTACTTCAGGGCACACCAGAAATTCCTATTTCTCAGTTCCAGTGTTTTCACCAGAAGCAGTCAACAGCAATCATAAAGAGTATCTACTTTTAGTCCCATAATCCTACTCTGATACAGAACATTTGAGAATGTTCTCTGGGGACAGCACATCTGCAGTCCCATCCCCTTCAGAGCTATGAGCAGCTTAAACTTGTTCATGCAAGACAATCTCCACACATTTACTAAATTTGAAGCTGTATGTATCAACTGTGGAAACTCATTTTTCAAAAACTTGTAATTTGGCCAAAACCAGGCAGATTTTCTGAGGAAGGGCAAAAGATGTTTCTGACACAGTGACCTGAACTCGTGAGAAAGAGCTCTCCAAAGTAAAAAAAAGCTTAAAATGACAAGGCAAAAACCACTGGTTTTTGGGGGTTGTGGGGTTTTTTGTTTGTTTTGGGTTTTTTTTTTGTTTGGGGTTTTTTTTTTTTTTTGCTTAGCTTTATTCTTGAAATTGTCTGAACCCCAGCCTGAGGTTCTTCCTGTGAAATCCAGGTCAAGGAAGATTGCTTGTATGTCTGAAACTTTCACCTCACAGGGTTCTAGACATACAAAGTTAAAAGCAACAAGAATCTTGCAAGAGTTGCACGTGTCCTGTCAGAAGCATCACAGGACTGGTAATGGTACCCTAAAAGTTAAGGTTTGGGTTGCTAATGTTGCAAGTACGTTTAAAGGTTTATAATTTCAGATTGAGGGTTTCATTCAGACCAGTATTTCGGCAAAAGTTTTACTTATATGGCAGGCAGTAAGGACAGACTACATAGAATCCAAGCTCCTGTTAAAGCAGTTAGAAGGTTACAACCGGAGATCATCACCTCATAGCAGAAACTTGGCAAGTAACCATTCAAATGTCCCCGGTTGCCTACTGCATTTAGTAAAACAGCTTTGTGTAACACCTTCACTAGCAACATTACACAAATCCACTTCAACTGTAGCTGTGCGTACCTTGAAGTGAGTGCTGTGCACTGTGACTACTGCACAGCAGTCAAGGAAGGAACAGCCTCTGGCTGGGTGAGCAGAAATTTTTTTTCATTCACAAGGACACTGCAGTCAGTAAGATTTTAAATGCATCTCAAATGTAATCACATTTCATTTCAAGGTGGAGATTTTTAGGGAAAGTACTGGATGCCTAATTTGGATATAGTACATTATGGCCAATACTATCAAACAGCAGAGCTTCCACATTCCAAAACTTGGGAGAAAAAAAGAGGAAGAACTTCGCTTACAAAACTAACATTTAACACTAATTGCAGATATCAATTTTCTATTTTGAAGACTGTATTCTTTATAATGTTAATTCTTACAAAACTGTAAACACTGAATATATACCTATTACTTAATTTACTGTTTACCATAACTCGTGGTGTGGGGTTTTTTTTGGTTTGTTTTAAGTACTTGGAACATTTCTTTGAACTTCAGTATTATAGTTTTCATAGAGCAAACAACAGGGACCTTTCCTTTTAAAAAGGATGTACATTATTTGGGATTTTGCCCCTTCCAGACTGTTGGAATTTTCCTTCCTCTCTAAAGGTCTACTTTGTTCATTAATTTTTTTTTAACTATCTGAAACACTAAATATCAGCAATAACTCTACAAAGTAACATTAGTACCGGATACCTAATTAAAAGATGACAAAATACTGAATAAACTATTAAAACAGGGCAAAATTTGGCTTTGAAAGCTGTTTAGACAGCAGCTATGCCTCAGAAAAGAGTGAATATGATACACTTTTCATAGTATTTCACAACTAACTTACACTAGCTATACAAAACTTAGGCATCCAAAACATTTAAATCACCTGCCCAGTATTATTTTAATAAATAGGCCATAATATAGGCCCAATTGCTATAAACAATTAGGTTAGCCTAACATGTTTCACAAAATGGAAATAAAGCAGAACTATATCACTTACTCGTTGCGCAACTTCTGCTGCAGCAGCTGCCATTGCTGCAGCTTTGGCCTTCTCTGCTTCATCATAAGTAGGAAGAGAGGTAGCTACACTGTATGGAGGTGGTACAGGATAAAATTCATTGTGTGTTTCTGTTCAAAATAAAGAGGTTATGCATTTTTAAGCCAGAAAGATGTCAAAAAATATTAAATTTTACATGCACGTAACCACTGAGCTTTAAAGTATATTTTTTCCAACAGAGACTGAAACTGATGATATTTTTATCTTGTAAGTTCTTATAAGTTTTTTAAAAAAACTTTATTTTCGTAAAATAAAATAGTGAACAGCTTGATGGTGGTTTTAGTTGCTACTCAAGGCAGAAATCTTAATCTAGATGCTGCAAGGAGCCAACAAATTCATGAACAAAAAAAATCATATTTGCTGAGTTACATCCCTAGGGCATTCCAGCCAAAGGCTTTTTATCAAATCATACAAAAGACACGCACAGAAACATGCTAAAAAAAAAAGCTTGTAATTATCAACATCAATTAGCTACTTAAGTTCAGTAATAATCATGCTATATTTTTATTAGTACGGCCTTGTTGCCAACTCCAGTTGTTCTGTGAAAATCAGTTTTTCCAAGATTTCAATTTCACCACATTCTTTTAAAAATGGACCACAGACTTCATTCTTATATATTGAAATAGTAAAACATCATCATATAGAATAGAATTATTAACAAAATAAATAAAAATTATTTAAAATACACCTTGAGCTTCCTCCTACAGCCAGCAGTAGTTTGTAAGAAGATTGCTTACGTGGTAAAGATTTGTCAGCACAGGTCACACCGTAAAAAGATTTGTCAGCACACCACCACAAAGATGTTATATATAGGGATAATTCTGCATAGTATTATATTTGCAAACACTGTCTCAAAGAACAGGGACAGGAAATTGCTCCTTTAATCAACATGAAAAAAATTAGGTTGGAGGTTACTTCTAAAATATTTATTTGACACACGGGAAACACAAATCTGAGCAACTTTGCTTAAACAGGGACTTCGATGTTGCCTGCTGTTAAGTCTCCCATACCCCAAAGAAAAGGCACAACCTCATGGAAAGGGAGCAGTGAATAAAGGGAGAAGACGACCCCTGTTACTCATTTTCCACAAGAAGTTTTATCAAGAGCCTTTAAAGCAAAATGAATCTTTTCATGGCAATATTTTCACCAAACAATGGCACACACTTAAGAAGTTTGAGTTTTAACAAATCAGTCCTTTGTGTTTTGTTTTGTTTTTTTTTTTCTTTTTTTATAAAGAGGCAATGAAAATTGCTAATGAGGTCTAATAATGGAGCACTATTCAAAGATGTAGATTAAATGTGGAACTGAACTACATGCAGACTTAAATAAAACCTCTTACACTAATTAATGAACATCCATTTAGTCTAGTAATTTGGAACAATCAGCGTAATTTAGAAGTGTGCTTCTTGTGAACAAACCAGACAAAGGGCTGTGCATGAAAGCATAGCTTTTTACTGCAATTGTGTGCGTAGGAGAAGGAAAAAAAAAAAAAAAAACCCACACCATACCGCAGCATCGTACCACTTTGAACCAAGTGCTGATTCATACACACTCCTCCCTGAGAAGCTGTTATGCACGAGAGATACCTGAGGTTGCAGCTGCTTCTACAGCTATGCTACAGTAAGGTGGAGGGGAAGTATCTGCTTCAGATAAGGCTGCCGTCTGGGGAGTCTGTGTAGTCTCTGTAGACGTGGAAGGCTGCTCAGCTGCTGAAGACTCTGGGGGGTCATCCTCATTGTGAAGCTTAGAAGAAAAACACACAAATTTCAGATGCATTCAGGGAATACTTTCCATGACAACCTAGTACTTGCAGAACCATCTTCAAAAAGAGAGAAGATTACTCTTCAACATAACAACAATTATTTACAAAACAGCACGTGACTACTTTAAGTAGTCCAGTTAAATCCTTTTAAGCAAACAGCTAAAGATAATCTTAACTGCCTTTTTTTTTTTCCCACCCCTCCGAGAAATTGATTTCTTCTCATCAGTGGTGTTCACAGAGTCTTAAAAATCTGGGGGTTTTAATGTTTACTATATGGGAAAAAGCTGACTATAAAATACTTTCTATCATATGAATATTTTAACACTATTACATTTTTTTTTCTTAAATACATTCATAAAATGTATTAACCCATTTTAAAATGCAACAGGTGAGCAACACTATCTTTTATTGTATTAATCTAGAAGAAATCAAAAAATAAAACACATTTCTACTTCTGTAAGTGGGATTTTTATACACTTGCATCTTGTCAGAGAGCTTCTCCACTCAAATTCTAAGACTTATCAAAACATTCTGCTTTTCTGTACAGTCTTGAAAGAATCCTTTCCCTATAAAACTTTAAGTTGCTCGTTTGTTTGGTTGTTTGTTTTTTTTTTTAAAATGTCCAGTTAAACATATACAGAAATAAGAATTTGGGTAGGTAAGAATTTAGGTAGGTAAAACCATGGAATTTGATCCAGCAACTATTATCTTTTCTTAGAGAAGGTATTTTTGATTATTTTAGCTAACTTGACAGTGTTTAAAATACAATTCAAACTTTAAGAAGAAATAGTACTAGCATTAAACAAAAAAGTGCTAGTTCCCACTAGTGTAAACTACAAGATAAGATGCATAGAAGGCAACTACTGAAGCACCATATTTAAAACCCAGAAAACAAGATTAGTAAGTTGAACACATCTGAAAAAATAATTTTGTAACTTCAAATTGGTAGTTTCTATGAACATCCTACAGAAAAAAGTTATTTTAATTTCAATAACAAAAATATTAAGAATACGACTACATTAATTCCATATTAGGCAAAGTACAATCATATTATTGGAAAAGGCACATTCTAAGGAAAAAGAACACTAAATTCCTTGTTAAGTAGTGTAACATCCACATCAAAATTGTTTTATATCCAGAGTATATCAAAGTTCACAGACTGGTTGAGATTGGAAGGGAACTCTGGAGGCCATGTGGTCCAACCCCTCCCTGCTCAAGCAGGGCCACCTGCAGCCAGTTGCCCAGGACCATGTCCAGATGGCTTTTGAGTACCTCCAAGGACAGAGACTCCACAACCTCCCTGGACAACCTATTCCAGTGCTCTGTCACCCTCACATTATGGAAGAAGGGGGGGGGGAAGTGTTTCCTGATGTTCAGAACCTGGGAACCTCCTGTGTTTCAGTTTGTGCCCACTGCTTCTGGTCCTGTCACTGGGCACCACTGAAAAGAGCCTGTCTCCAACCTCTTTGCACCCTCCCTTCAGGTATTTAGATACACTGATGAGGTCCCCCCTGAGCCTTCTCTTCTCCAGGCTGAACAGCTCCAGCTCTCTCCGTGTGTCCTCATATGAGATGCTCCAGGCCCTTCATCATCTTGGTGGCCCTTTGTTGGACTCTCTCCAGCATGTCCATGTCTGGGGAGCCCAGACCTGGGCAGAGCGCTGTGGCCTCACCGATGCTGAGCAGAGGGGAAGGGTCAACTCCCTCGACCTAATGGCTAGGCTTTGCCCAGTGCAGCCCAAGACACCGTTAGCCTTCTCTGTGGCAGGGGCACACTGCTGGCTCATGTTCAAGTTCTGCAGGTTACAAATTCCGTGCTTTTCTTTCTAATGAAAAAC